TTTAAATGGTAGATGGATATAGTCTTAGAAATTAAACTGCAAGCAAATGAAAGGCAACAAGCTGAGGTTGCTAATCTCTGGGGTGAAAAGCAAGAAGAGAGTGAAAGTGTTCTGAACTCAGTATACCTGTTAAAAGTAGGAAACTGCAGAAATCATTTTGCATTCCCAAACCACTGAAAATACTGTCTAGCATTTTTTCGCCATGTTTTTGGATGTACCATGTAAATGTAAAAGATACAGGTCCCCTGCTCCAGCCCAAAGACTTCATTCTCCTAGAGACAAAGTGAGTGCACATGCCTACCTGTTGTCTGCCCCTCTTCTGAGTTTGACAAGTATCTGAAGAGGAAGGACAAGAGGATCGGGGAATCTAAATCATCACAGAAAAGAGCCAATGACTGCATGCTTGGAATCTGTGTATCTTCCGAAGTGCATAGTAACTGCAACAACAAGGGATGAGACATATTGTTGACGTTTTCCCCTTCCATTCTGCAAAGGCGGTTGTAGTCTTTTAGTTCCATATCCTGCAGTGCTCTACGGGGCCTCTTTTGGCCCTGCTTTCCTAGCGTCCCAAAAGTACTGCCTCTGGAAGCACTTGGTACTTCATCAGTCAGCTGTTACTTCAAGTCACCGTCAGGAATAAAGCTATCTTTGCCCTGGCTGGTTTTCTCAGTGGTTAGAGTGTTGGCCTTCAGATTGAAAGGTCTCAGGTTTGATTCCCATCAAGGGCATGCACCTAGGTTGCAGGCTTCACCCCTGGCCTGGGTCAGGGTGAGTGTGGGAGGCAGTCAATCAATGTGTCTCTCTCACATCAATGTTTCTCTCTCTTTCTCCCCCCTCTCCCTTCCTTCCACTCTCTCTAAAAATCAATGGGAAAATGTCCTCGAGTGAGGATTAGGGAGGGAGGGCAGGAGGGAGAGAGAGAGAGAGAGAGAGAGAGAGAAAAGAAAGAAAGCTATCTTTGTTTTAAGTCTCTTGCAGTTCCCCCTTTTTTGAACTATTAACCAAAGATATATACAGGCATATCTTGCTTTATTATGATACTCGCTGCTTTTATAGTTGCTGTGTTTTTATTTTTTTTTTTACAAATTGAAGCCAAGAAGATTTCTACTCACTCACTTTATTGGGATGCTTGCTTTATTGTGGTGACCTGGAACTGAACCTACAATACCTCAGAGTATGCCTGTAGTTTACCTTGTATGCTCCGTTTTTATCATATTTGTAATAAATTACGTAAATATTATATACAAGACATTAAGCAAAAACCATCCATCCCCTTAAAAATGTGGAGGGAGCCTGGCTAGTGTGGCTCAGTAGTTGAGCATCGACCTATGAACCAGGAGGTCACGGTTCAATTTCCAGTCAGGGCACATGTCTGGGTTGCAGCTCGATCCCTAGTAAGGGGAGTACAGGAGGCAGCCAATCAATGATTCTTTCTCATCATTGATGTTTCTATCTCTCCTTCTCCCTCCTTCTCTCTGAAATCAACAAAAATAATTTTAAAAAGTTATAATAGATCCTTTGGGTGCTTCCTGAAGTGGGTTAATACAGTAGAGTCTAGATTCCAATTCCAAATAAAACCAATGAACACACTTAATTCTATCCCACCTGTTTTAGGTCAGGTGATTCTTTTTCTTCAGAATTGAGATGGAATCCATCTCTTTCTACTTTACCTAATATCTCACTTATGGGAAGTAATAAGGGCTCGGAGGAATAAGACAGTTTGGGGCTCTTTATTGACAGCTGTCTTACCTTTGCAGCCACAGTGGATTTCTTAGACCAACATTGTTCAATAGAAATATAATGCAAGCCACATATGGAATTTAAACATTTTTAGTAGCCATATTTTATTTTTTCCTATTTATTGACTTTATTGGTTGACACTGGTTAACAAAATTATACAAGTTTCAAGCGCACAATTTTACAACACATCATCTGTACACTGTATTGTGTGTTCACCACCCCAAGTCTCCTTCCATCACCATTTATCACCCCTATACCCTTCTTCACCTCCCCCACCCTTCCCCATATGTTAAAAAGTAAAAAACAAAATGAAAGTAGTTTCATATTTCATTTAATCAATATAGCCAAAATACTATTTCAACATGGAATCAATATGTTTAAATTATTGAGATATTTTGCGTGCCCCCCGCCCACTAAGTTTTCTGTATTTGCTGTGTGTTTTACATTTACAGCACATCTCCGTTTGACTAGCCACATTTAAAGTACTGAATAGCTCAGGCCATATTGGACAACACAGTGTTAATTAACATGGAGAATATAAGGAGGCAGCTGCAGGTGAGGCTGCAGTACCAAAGGAGGAAAGCTTTATCTGTCAAACCAAGAGTTTGAACTTTACCCTGAAGGTTATGGGCGCTGTAAACGGATCTTAGGCAGAGAACTTAACTTGATGGTTTCAGAGAATATAGGCTAGAGATTTAGGAGTGGGGTTCAAGCAAGAAGCATTGTTAGGAGGCTGTTGTCGTGGTCTAGGTGAGGAGTGATAAGAACCTGAATTGAAACACTGTCGGGGCCTCAGTGGATAGAGCGTCGGCGTGTGGACTGGAGGGTCCTGGGTTCAATTCTGGTCAAGGGCACATGCCCTGGTTGCGGGCTGGATCCCTAGTAGGGGGCATCCAGGAGGCAGCGGATCAATGATTCTTATCATTGATGTTTCTATTTCTCTATTCCTCTCAATACACAAATAAAAAATAAAGAAAGAAAGAAACACTGTGAGGAACGTGGGCCAAAGGAAGTATGTCTGACAGAGATTTAGGAGGTCAAATCACTGTTGGATTTGAAGAGAGGGCGGGAGTAATCTACTGGTAGGAGAGTTACCAGGTTCCTGCCTCGGGTAGTTGGGCCAATGGCAGTCGTGCTAACTGACATGGAGGGAGGACAGGTTGTAGGGGAGATGAGTTCAGCATGGGGCATGGTGACCCTGAGGTACTTTTGTCACAGGCAGGTCGATATGTCCAGTTTGACAGGGAAGAGTTTACTCGAGTATATTTAGAGTTAGAAGCTATAAAGGCTGGGAAGGAACCCAGTACTGAAGGTGCCAGTGAAAACTTTAGGCAGTTAACAGAAGGGGGTGTGAGGCTGAGGGAATCCAGGGCAGCTTTGTAGAAAAGGGGGCATTAAGCAGACTCTTCAAGAATGGATAGAAATTAGAAAGTCAAAGAAGGTAGAAGCGGCAGCAGAAATGTAGTGAGGCAAGAATGTGTCAGACACTGAATGTACCCATCCTGCTGGGCCAGATGGGTTAGGGCTGAGATCAAAGCTGGCCTAATGCAGTTTGCAGAAGTTTTGTTTGGCTTGCATGGGTGGGGTTGAATCATGGGGTTGGTTCTAAATTTAGTAAGGTGCCAGCACTTCCACACAAAAGTCCAGATTTCTGCTGTCTTTTTAAAATAAAAGGGGGCTGGGCGGTAGCTTGGCAACACGGTGGTCTTCTGTGGGAACACTCCCCTCTCCAGCAGTCTGTTTTATGCACTGGGCTTGAGTCCTGCAGGCATTTGGGTATTTACTCTACTTCTGAGTCCAGGGTTGGTAGGTAATAAAGGTACAAAGATGGATTGGTGACAGGTCAAGAAGGGCTTTTAATACTAAACTAAGGAGTATAAATGTAGGCATCAGGCAACTAGTGAATAAGGGATTGATGAGATTGAACCATATTTAGGAGGATTATTCTGGACCAGTGAAAACACAGACGTTAGGAGAACAGTTACCAGTTTTGAAAGGGAAGAGACAGATGTGCATAACCACGTGGCTAACAAATGCGAACTGGACGTCTCTGAAGGAGATGTCATCCGGGAAGCCTGCCAGTGCCACATGGGAACCATCTGGGCCTTTGAACTAACTTATAACGTGTGCGTTGGGTAATCTGCTTTGCAGGCTTCCAGAATTCAGGCCAGTGTTTGGTGCAGGGGCACCGCGAGGCTGGCTGTTTGAAACAGCTGTCTGTGTTTGTTCTAACCTCTCAGTAGGAGTACAGTGTGCTTTTTCTCCTTGTTGTGAGCATGGATGATCATGAGGAAAATGGAAATGCTAAGAAAGGTGGGGCAAACTGTGAAGCTGTTAAACTCTGGCTGTGGGAGCAAAGCTCACGGTGGGTGCTGAGCTGCGTGTTGTCACCCAGTATAACACCTGCCTTCTTCAACATTGTCAGGCTGCTGGCTTACAGTCATTGTTCCAAGTAGACTGTAAAGGAAAGGAAAGGCCCCTTTAAAATAATGAGGCTAAAATTAATATCCAATCATTGTTAGCTGTGTGCCAGGCACTCTTCTAATGCTTCCTACAGATATTTAATAATTATAGCTGCCCCCTTGAAGTACTATTGCTACCTCCATTGACCAGCAAGGAAACTGAGGCCCTGGTGGGTAAGAACTTACCCAGGGTCACAGGCTGATAAGGAACGGAACCAGGACTTGACCCCAAGCAGTCTCTCTGGAGGCTTTTCTGTTCAACACTGTTCAATGGCCTCCGTATCGTAAGGTCACAGAAATAGGCAAATTCACAGGTAGACAACTTTATGCTTTTATCCTAGAGGCCCCAATACAACTTAATCCAGGGCTGTTCATTTGGTTCAGGCCCTCATCGCAGAGCTGAAACTCCAGCATGGGTCCCTCAACTGCCTTTCAGGGGAGGAGATAATGTGCTGGGTCCTTGGGTGACCTTGAGAGAGGGCAAGGTTGTGTGCTGTGTTCAAAAGGCTGTTCTCTTCCTTTAGCGAACGGGTCGAGGTTAACTTATAAAGTTGCGTTGGTAACCCTTTATTACAAATTTAAAAAGACCTCATAAAAATTCTCCTCCCTTTCATGCACACTAAATCACGTTAGCTTTCCTTCATATGTTCTCACAGAGCTCTTTTGATAAATATTTGACGTTGCCAGGGGCTGAGATTCCATAACATTGTAGAGACCCAAAGGCATTAGTACAGTGCTTCGAGACCTGTCAACGTTTCCTCCCATAGTTAGTGTGGCTTCCTTCTCTTTGGTCTCCAGGTGAAACATGTGAACGAAAGGTTTACAGAGGAAACCAACAAGGAGGTGGTTCTCATGTGCATTGGCATCACGTCGGGAGTTGGACGGCTGCTCTTCGGCCGGATTGCAGACTACGTGCCTGGCGTGAAGAAGGTTTACCTACAGGTACTCTCTTTAGTCCTGTCCCCCAGAAACACTATTCCATTGCCTAGTGTCACCTTATGTGTATTTGTTTGCTCACATTCTTCTGTAAAAATGAGGAATATTTTCTAGAACCTAACTTCTACTAGCCGTTTTTCAAGGGCAAACTCAGTTATGAGTGTTGGGTTTTCAGTATGAAAAATTGGCGATCAAACTGCAGCCTTCTTTGTTTTGCCATTGAACTCCACCAAATCAAAATGTTTTTTGCCCATTACTTTTTCTAGGAATTGTGGTTTCAGCATAGTTTTTATAGTCATGTGCCTTTTGCAATATCTTGTGAAATTCAGGGGTGTGCATGTTTGTTTTTTGAGCTTCCTTATTGCAAATTGCCTCCTGGGTATTGTGGAGTACACACTAAACAAATGCTAATTCTAAGAGCATATGGACCTCACCTGACAAGTATTTAAGTGACTTCTCCATACTAGACACTGTGTTATATGCTACAGATGAAACATGGTCTGTACCCTCAATTAGTAGCTAATGGTATCATGGGAAGACCGATAAGTGTAATAGCACAGTGGAATATACGTATGCTAGATGGGTACCATAGCAACATAGGCGCCAAGCATCTGAATCACTTGTGGGGGTGTGAGCAGGCCTCCTAGGCTGGCAGAGTGTTAAGGGATGAATAGTAGACAGATAAGGACCGGCAGAAGAAACCATATGTGCAAAGAGGTGAGGTGTGATGGAGTATATTATGTCTGGGAAACAATGTTTGAAGCCTGGTCATGATCAGTTGAATAAATGGAAATGTAGACAACTTTGCCCAAAAGCTTGGCTGTGGAAGGAAGGTAAAGGAGAGCCACAAAGGGGCTCTGGGGTTGGGGATTGAGCATGTCTGCTCACCATACAGAGGAGAGGCAGTATTTGAGGAGGAGGGCCTTGAAGGAGAGGTGGAATTTGGGCACAGGAAAATGATTGGAAAAGGCATGAAGTAATTTACTATATGTGGATACAAAAGTTGGACAGTGAAGAAGGTTGGTAGGAAAAAAACGGATTCATTTGGAATATGGTGCTGGAGGAGAGCTCTACTGACACCCTGGACCACCAGAAAGACAAATGGGCCCTAGAGCAATCTAAGCCTGAAACATAGCTGGAGGCAAACATGGCAAAACGGAAGCTGTCCTACTTTGGGCTCATCCTGAGAAGGTAGGGTTCTTTGGAAAAGACAGCAATGCTGGGAAAAGCAGGAGGCAGCATGAAGAGGATGAACAACTATGAGATGGGTTCACTCTATAAAAGAAGCCACAGGCAGGAGTCCACAGGAGCTGAGCAGGGCTGTTGAGGACAGGACACTGTGGACATCACTCATTCATAGGGGCGCTGGGAGGCAGGGCTCACTCAGTGGTATGTAACACACACAAAAGAACTTCCGTTAATTGATGTGAAGTAATACCAACCACCACACGTTGAGCATTTCCACGATGAAGTATCTCCTTTACTCTTCGCCCCTGCCCTTTGAGAAAGGTAATGTCATTTCCACGTAGAGAGGTGAGCGCTGAGACAGAGAGGCCACCTCACTGTGGGTGTCTGTATAGGTCCAGGCGGACCGCCACAGGACGGGGTCTGCTCATACAGCTAGAAGGAAGTGTGGGACAGTGCTACTTTTAAACGTATTTATTGTACCCTGATCATTCCCCCTTTTATTATTACCTAATTGTGGATATCCTTGTCAAACATTTAGCAGAACATTCGGTCTTGTTCTCAAGTGTCATGGGAGCCCTCTAGTGGACATTTGTTGCATGACAAACTTTCAGCTTTTTCTTTTTAAAAAAATATTTAAAAATTGATTTTAGAGAGGAGAAAGAGAAGAGAGGGAGAGAGGGAGGGAGAAATATCAACCTATTATTCCATCCATTCACGAATTCATTGGTTGACCCCTGCATGTCCCTGTTATTAAATAACAATACTTTATTTTTATGTAATAACAATAAAGTATATATAATTTCAAAGGTACAATTAAAAATAAATTATTTTACCAAATTTTAGAGAGAGAGAGACACACACACAGAGAAACGTCTTTGTTGTTCCACTGATTTATGCATTCATTGGTTGATTCTTGTATGTGCCATGACTGAGGAATTGAACCTGCAGTCTTGGAACACTCTAACTGACTGGGCTACCTGGCCAGGGCTAAGAATCAAATGTTTGATGAATGAATTTGAGCTGATATTCAAATAACTAGTAATTTATTTATTTTTAATTTATTATTTTTTAAAATATATTTTTATTGATTTCAGAGAGGAAGGAAGAGGGAGAGAGAGAAACATCAATGATGAGAGAGAATCATTGATTGGCTGCCTCCCTGCATGCCCCCTACTAGGGATGGAGCCCGTTGACTGGAATCGAACCGGGACCCTTCAGTCCATAGACTGACACTCTAGCCACGGAGCCAAACTGTCCATGGCATAAAGAACTAGTACTTACTGAGCAATGACCTGGTACAAGATCCTTAACCCTTGTAAATATCTAGTTCAAAGGTGGCTTGTACAGATTCTGACTTCAAAGAGCTTACAGGCTGGGAGGGAAAAATAGTTACTTTCTTCTTGTCTCTTTATTACAGTAATTTTCAAGAATTTTTAAAACATGCAATACCTGCCCTGACCAGTGTGGCTCAGTTGGTGGAACATGATGCCATGCACAAGAGGTTGCCCATTGGCTTCCCAGTCAGGGCACATGCCTGGGTTGCTGGCTCAGTCTCCAGTAGAGGACGTGCAGGAGACAGCCGAATGATGTTTCTCTCTCACATTGATGTTTCTCTCTCTCTCTCTCTCTCATCTCCCTTCCTCTCTCTTTCAAGTCAATAAAAACATATTTAAAAAATAATAATAATAGAAACATGTAATACCTGACTACTTAGGGCACTGACTTCCTTTCACTTAGACTGTCAAATAAAAAAATGACAACAGCTCCTAGCCAGTTTGGATAGAGTGTTGGCCCGTGGACTGAAGGGTTGAGGGTTTAATTCCAGTCGAGGACACATACCTTAGTTGCAGGCTCAATTCCCAGTGCCAGTCGGGACATGTGTGGGAGGCAACCAATTGATGTGCCTCTCTCACAACGATGTTTCTCTCTGTCTCTCCCCATTCCTTTCACTCTCTCTAAAAAATCTGGAAACATATCCTCGGGTGAGGATTAACAACAACAAAAATGACAACAGCCAACACAACAATGGGCATTTGTGTGAATGAATCAAAATTATACCTATTTTTTGTCAAAAAAAATTTTTTTTGGTGTGCCACTGAATTTTAGTAATTAGTTTATGTGTGCCATGAGATGGACAAGGTTGAAAATTACTGCCTTAATGGAAATACTGAGAAAGTGCTAGGGGAACTCAGGGAGTTGATTACGGAAGTTGATTATGTATATAAAATCAAGGTGAATGGGGCTGTGGGGGGTGAGCGATTAAGCAGTAACTTCTTAAAAGTTCTAAACATATTGCTCAGTGATGGCAGAATTCACTTTTCCTGGCCGCAGAGTTGACATGTGGTGTCTGTCCTAGGTGCTCTCCTTCGTCTTCATTGGTCTGATGTCCATGATGATTCCCTTGTGCAGTGTCTTCGGGGCCCTCATCGCCGTCTGCCTCATCATGGGCCTCTTCGATGGATGCTTCATTTCAATTATGGCCCCCATTGCCTTTGAGTTAGTTGGTGCCCAGGATGTTTCCCAAGCAATTGGATTTCTGCTTGGATTCATGTCTATACCCATGACTGTGGGGCCACCCATTGCAGGTAAATGTAATTATTCTCCAATAATTATATTAATTCATAGCATTTTTTACTACAGGTGCTAAGTCTCACTTGTATGTAAATGTATAATTGATTAGTTACTAGTCTTTGGGGTGTTTTGTTTTGGTTTTTTTGTGCTACAAAAAGCCAAGTACAAAATGCCACATATTGCATGACTCCGTGTATATAAAACATCCAAAACAGGAGAATCCACGGAGGCAGAGCGTGGAGATGTGGCTGCCAGGGGCCAGAGGGAAGGGGAGAAAGGGGTTCTGCTCTGGTGTGGTTAAAACATTTCAGAACAAGGTAGGGGGGGTGGTTGCATAACATTGTGAATGTACTAAATGCCATTAAAATGGTTAATTTTATGCTACGTGAAGTTCACCTTTAGAAATCTTTTGAATGATAGTACAAAGATTTCTTCTTTCAGTATTACTTGGGTGCAAATGTGAATTTTTATGATAAGAAGATTTGATAAAATTATGACAAAATTTAAATGTATGTACTATCTTCTATTTCTGGCATGTGAAGGGCTCAGTTAAAGTTCAGCTCAATTCATTCTCATATCCAGAACCACATGTACCGAGCAACTTTGCCAGTTGGGAACCTAGCCATGAATCCAGCAAGCAGAGCCACCACCGTGCAGACCAAACAACATTTAAGTTCTAAAGATCACAGTCTCCTTAGAGGAGAACCCCCGTCCTTCCTCACTCTCCGCTAGTCGCACTATTTTTATACCTTAGAAGCTTCATTTCTTAGGGTTTCCAAGTCCACAGGGGATGACAGGTAGCTGTGGAATGGGGTTTGCTACTAGAAGTAACTGATAGCAGACGAGAATAAAGGAGTAACAGGGAGCTCCCAAAGCAGGCAGAGCAACACAGCAACTGGCAGCAGAAAGCCCCCGGCCCCCCAGGAGGCTCTGGGGCCACAGTATCATAGCCAAGCACAATAGTTAGTGCTCATAAGGATGAAAGGTTCAGTTATACATTAAATGTTCTGATTCAGGAGATAGGAAATCACATATTTGGACATACTGTGTGCTCTAGGTTTCCGTCCGGAATGAAAGTGCACCTTTTTTAATGAGTTGGGACTTAATGGGACACATCCTCGGCAGAGTCAGATATTTAGTACTCTGTGTGTTCCCTACACATTTCAGATAACTGAGGTCGTATAGTAAACATGTTAAAAGGTGAGCCCATCCGGTGTGGCTCGGTGGTTGAGCGCCAACCTATGAAAGAACCAAGGGGTCACACTATTCGATTCCTGGTCAGGGCACATGCCCAGGTTGTGGGCTTGATCCCCACTGGGGGTTGTGCAGGAGGCAGCCAATCAATGATTCTCATCATTGATGTTTCTATCTCTCCCTCCCTCTCCCTTCCTCTCTGAAATTAATAAAAATATTTTTTAAAAGTTTAAAAACACTAAGATAACTAATTAAACATTGGATTGCGTTAGATGAATTAGATACCAGGAGTGTGCTAAATGACCGTTTCAGAAGCGCAGCCCAAGGATCTGTGAGAGTGCCACACAGATTCTCACGTTTTCCTCTCACGTGGTGACAGACCTCAGTTATCTTTCCAAAATGTATTTAACAACCTTCCTTCCTAACTTACGTTTATCATTGTTCATGATTTTAAATTATAATTTTCAAGAGCTTCATGTTATTTCATAAACAAATAGGCCCAAGAAAGGTTTGAAACGGTAGACGTTTTGCAGTGCCTGTGAGAAGTTTAAGCTTGGTGGTCTATCCACCTTTACACCATGTGTCAGAATGCCCCAAATGACCTCTGAAGGGTTTTGAAAAAAAAACCAAAGCTTAGTTGCAAATATTGTTTTCCATGTAATATTTTGGTACAAAACCCAGAGGCCTGTAGTCTGTGATGAGATTAAAGATAGGAGCTCTTTGCCTTCTTCATCTCAGAAATGGTTTATATTTCAGGCACACTTCCTAAACATGTTGAATCATCTGAGATGTTTGAACTAGTTCTGCTGAGATGCAGTCACTAGGGTGGAACTAGGCAGGCCACCACTGTGCGGGATCTGAGACCCCTGAGAGCCCCCCTGTTTTCTCTTGGTGACAGTGTTTTCCCTTCCCAGGGTTACTCCGTGAGAAGCTGGGTTCCTATGACGTGGCATTCTACCTCGCTGGGGTCCCTCCCCTTATTGGAGGTGCTATCCTTTGCTTTATCCCATGGATCCATAGTAAGAAGCAAAGAGAGATCAATAAAACCACTGCAGGAGAAAAGATGGAGAAAATGCTGGAGAACCAGAACTCTCTGCTGTCAAGTTCACCTGGAATCTTGAAGAAAGAATCTGACTCTGTTATTTAATGTCTTCTATACCTCCACCAGACTGGATTTGCTTTCAGAAGTTTAAGCAAGTTTTCCTTTTATATAAATTGCAAATTATTTTTTTAATCACATCCTACGAATAGCACAGTAATGGGAAATAGAACATTTATTACTTCAAGAACCATTTTCTGCCACCGAATAGCTGTCTAACATTTCCGTGAGTCTGAGGACAGAGACTCTGGTCCATGAAAACATCTCTGGAAGTTAAATATTATGAGAATTTGACCTATCTCAGTAGAAAGCAACTTTGGAAACTGTGAATGCTATTTAGCTTCTACAAATATTTAAAAATACCTCAAGCTATACTAAAAAGGTTGTAATTTGGTTAAACTGGAAATATTGTTTGTTGCCTCACATGCTGTTTTTAGTTCTGGTATCTATCTAGATTTTAATTTCTCTTGCTATTTGGAGACTTTTTACAAAATTTAAGTCTGGCTTCTAGATAATGTGCTAGCTACCTAAACCTCAAGTGGGTGTGAAAGTTGCTTTCCCTGCTGTTAAGTAGGCCCTGACATGAAGGGGTTCTGACTTGCCCTAGTGTCAGAGATCTTTTTGGAGCAAATGCTAGCAATGTATTCAGAACCAGTATGTGAGATTCCTGGTCGTAAGGGCAGAGCAGTTAAAAAATCAGGCATTTCTTCATTTACATTTCTTCCCTATGGCTTTGCAGTGTTTTACTGGAGTAGCCAGAAACGCTCCAAATTTCTGAATTTGTTTAAATTATAACAATAAAGAAAAATAGAATGAATGAAAGATACTCTGGCAGTTTTAACATAAAGTATTTCTGGCTTCTGAATTTGTTAGCACTGGGACCCAGTATTTAAACAAAGCCTTATTGAGCATGATGTCAAGTTGCAGTTTCAGGCACAGTGGGGGAAAAGATCTTGGTGTTTGTAAAGGAAACATCTATTTCTGATAGACACAGTTGCTGAAATTGGTTTATGAAATTAATGGGTCGTGAAAGGTTAGACGCATTTATAAAGAGAAACAACTCCTACATTTCCAAAATTTTCTGGCAGAAATTTGCATTTGTATGTATTTCTCCTAGTGTGTTCCCCATTAACATTCTTAGCACTTTTTTCTATTTATACACAGACAATTGAAAGCAAGCTATTAGAGTTTAAGTATCTAAAATTAAAACCAAATCATGTCATGACCCATGCTCATCTACAAAAAACGGGAACACTTTCCTCATCTCTGAAGTTATACATTTTTGTTATTTAGGTGTTTAAAAATTAATAATATGCAAAGTATATTTAAATCCTAAATATAGATGTTTATTAGATCTTCCTCAAATGTAGCTTGTTCACCTGGGAAGATGTTGTTGTTGTTTTTTTGTGTGGTTTTTTTTGAGAGAGAGACATCAATTTGTTGTTTGACTTATTTATATACACTCATTAGTTAATTCTTGTGTGTGCCCTGACCGGGGATTGAACCCACAACCTTGGTGTATAGGGATGGCACTCTAACCAACTGTGCTACCTGGCCAGGATGAGTGTTGTCCTTTTCTAAAGCACCTCTAGGACCCTCCTGTTTCTAAGTTCTTTGTAAGGAAAGAAAGTTAGTCTATTATCTCCTTACTTTACTTTTCAGCTACTGTTGTTTCTGGAAGGCAAAGCACTTCCATTCCTTGTCTCTAGCCGAGGATGGAGATGCCTGGAAGCATATGGACTTAGAACTGATGGAGAGCAGGGAGGTGTGGCACTCAGAAGGTGGGAGGAAAGTGAGGCAGTTCATTAAACGGCGAGAAAACACAATAATTTTCCTTTCAGAATCAACTTTCTTATCTGCAGCCTTGAAAGTACAACGTCTATAAACACTAAATGTAGAATCTGTTTTTAATAGGATTTTAAATAATTTTGATTGTGAAGACATTCAACAACTTACTGTGGCCATACACACAGTTGCAACTTACTCCTTCAAAATGTCCATATTTCATATTCAGGGACTTAGTAATTTGTTTTTTGGAAGGTTCTGTTACAAAGAAAAGGAAAAACCCTACATTTGAACACACTGCCCTTTTATGTTCTTATTTTAAACTTTTAGAAAATGACTTAGAAATGATAATGTAATAAATTATCTGGTTTTTCATTTATTCATGCCCAATTATAAAAGCATAATTTCCTCATTATCAATGCTTTTGAGATCAGCAAAAACATAAAACTAAGACCAATCATCATGCCTGCCATTATAAATATTTTTTACAGTTTTTATAAGACTCCTGGTACTCCCCACCTGCAATTGTACAGAAAGAATAATTCTAAAATAGAATATTTACTCTGTAAAGACCTCCAAAGTGCTTTTCCTTTCAAAATTTGGCTGATTTTAGGGGAAATAAAATGTAATACTCTGAAACTCAAAGACTTGATCTTGCTTGATTAGTTCTAATAAAAGAGCAAAGTGACTTAATATTTATAATAAAATTTAGATCTCAGACTACTGCACACATACTACTACACTTATGTAGTTTTCAGTCTAATGCAATGAGTCAAACAGGATCTATAACACCAAGAAATCTCCACCATAATCGAGTACAGTGCTGTAATAATATAAAGTTAAAAAGACACCAAGAAATCTCCACCATAATCGAGTACTGTGCTGTAATAATATAAAGTTAAAAAGAAAAAGTATAAAAGGTAAGATGCTACATTCCATAAAATGCATATTTAGTAATATGTTGTTTGGTACAAAAAGTTTTAAAAGTCTAAAGTTCTAAAAGTTCTACAAACTAAAAAAATGAAAAATACTACATTCATAAAGATTCGTGTTTCAGACAAAGAAATATTACTTTAATCTTTTAGTTAAAGTACATCCTTTCCAATTTCTGAAGTGTTACTATTGTAATAAAGTGACCAGATGGGCCTAAATTTTTCTTGGTTCAATTCAGACACTTTTTTTGAGAGGAAAAGAATAGAGTCAGAACTCTACTTTCTAGCACATCATCCTAATTTTGATAGGATCAGCAAATTCTCACATTCAATAGGTTCTTGCATTTGAGGCCAGCAGTTACATAAGAAGGAGAGCAATTACTATTCCCCTTTACAGAAGCTCCGGGTCAGATACACAGGTAACAGATACCCAAAGATCTTCCAGAAACGTTTTGGTTAAATTTTATTGCAGTGGATATTGTTGAGATCCATCCATTTCAGTAATAGACCCACCAAGTTATTGATACTTTATTCAAAATTTGTAAATCTCTTTGATCACAGTTGCAATGCTTAGTCTATAATCCTACTACAAGACTTGTAATTTCCACTGAAAATTGCATAGTGATTGCATTAAGCTTCCAATTCTACTCATAAACAGAAACAAGGCCTCGTTTGCATTTCATGATCCATATGTTATCTGATTGTACATACTTGCGGACGATCACCTAGGCTCTGCCTAAGTATTGAGAAACCTTTCATGCTATCAGCTTCAACTTCTCACACTTTTAAAGTAAACGCACACTCAGTTGTAAAGTAAATTATCTTTACTCTTTTCATATTATCTTTATCCTTATCATCCTTTTTCCCTTTTCCTTCCTCCTATCCTTCAAAACATCTGCTGATGAGTCCGTTAACATCCTTGCTTAACTCTACTAGCTGCTCAGCTGCACTACTTCCTGGTCCCTGTGGTTTCAGAGGCTGGAGCCCCATTCAATTTGTGTGACCTGGAGAATGGCTGGCTCTCGGTCATCAACTTAGAGTTCTAAAGGTCTAAATTATGTGATTAAAATTTGGGGGGAAATAAATGTCATATAATTGGCATCTTTGGTGTTAACATATAAAACTTTATTTAAATGTTTAAGATAAATGCTTTGAAAGAAAAGATTGTCGAGTTCTTAGCATGAATATTTTTGGAGGACACATTTTTTTTTTAACTTTGCTTTTGCTCTTCCTTTAAAGTTTTGCTAAATCTTAATCCTGAGAGCACACCATGGAGGATGCCTTGGATTCAGTTCCCAACGAACCTGCCTTAGGCGGGGTCACACTTGGTGAGCTTAGGGGCACAAGTGGAAAGTTTAATTAGCTCCAGTTTTTAAATATGTAAACAATTTAAATATTTTAAAACTTATTTAAACTCTTCAGAAAATTCCTAACACTGAAAGCTTTATTGTGGCTGGTATAAACATTAAGGAGCACTTTCTATATTAGATTAAAGGTTGTTGCTGTTTTTCATATGCGAAAAGTAAGAGGAAGTGAGCTTTACTACTTTCTTTTTACATCTATATTATTTTTTAATTTGAAAGATTAATGTTGTCTTGGCTAATAGGAAAGTGCATCATCCATATAGTTTAATGAACTCGTAAAAAAACTCAAGCCTTTTGCTTTGTTTTTAAAACAAAGGAAGAATTTGCCATTCATAATGGTGATGTGGTAATCCACAGAGGGCAGGCTTGCTACTTTACTGGCAGTCATTAATTCTGCTCAGATATACTCACTGATTTTTGTTGGTGATTTGGTTTAAGGGAAATAAAAAGACCGTCTCAAGTGGAGTTTGAGAATGGTTCAGGGCGAAGAGTCACAAGGTGGACAGCAACAACAGGCAGCTCCCGGGACCACTGTTATTTCATAGCTGCAGCCCCGTTTACCAGTTTACTTGTTGGCAGAGGCTAATGCTTTGTTTTGTAAATACACTAGAGCAGCGGTCGCCAACCTTTCGGACCACCAGTTGGCGGTCCCTGCACTAGAGAGTGGTAGGTGACAGTCCTTAAGACTAAGGGGCCAAATGCCTATAGCTACATGTGAAACCTGAACACAACTCAGAAGCACAATTACTGAACTACCATAAATGTGGACTTTATCAGATGACGTCTTCTGAGAGAGACAGTAAAGACCCATGAAACAATTCATTGCCACATCTTTGACTCAAAGAAATCTTGAAATCTGGGACATAGTGGTTTTCCTAGTAGTTTACTATACATGGTTGTTTACTTAGCTTGCCCTTTTTTAAATGATCAATATTTAAGTAGTGAACATTAATCATCTTGACCTCTATACATTCACAGAAATCCTCCATGGTATTATCTTCTTGACATCTAATATAGGACTACCTCACTTGTGACTCAGAAGATTTCCATTTTTTATTAGTGTGTTGGAAAGACACTGGGAACGAAACGAAACCTTTCTAAGCACCTGATCATGACACTCACTTGACCCCGACAGTCCACCTACCTCAGCTTTCAGTGTCCAACCAAAAGCGTGGCTTAATCCATGCGTGCTTAGTCAGAAGGAAGCTAATGGTGATGCTGGGATTAAAAGGCAAGGGAGTGCAAGTTGTTAAGGGGGTCAAAACAGTAAGATTTCTTAAGTGCTTTGTTCTGATAAATGGATATAAAAGGAGTATTAACTGATGTGGCCGGTGGATCATCTAACAGGAAAATGGAAGAAATTTATAACCTATGTGTAATAATGAACACTTACTAAAAATGCTTTACCAGGGGCTTTGCAAATTATGCCGGCAGCTTGATGAGGAGGTCTTCTTTCCACTTGAGTTTTCTTTGGCAGGAAGATGGATGATCACTGACAACAGTTGCATCTTGTGCCTTAGCCTTACAGCTTACATGCTGAACTCCTGTAAAAGGCCCCCTTTCCTCGTGGTAATGGTGTTTTGTCCCACAGGAGTTTTTAAGCGCTGTTGTTGTCTGTGTCTATAGTTAGAAGTTGACCCACAAGTTCCCAAATTAATTAAAGACGTTCCTAGCCTTTCAGTATGAGCGCTGTAAGAAGAGTATTTTGGAGTTGAATGTCGCAAAGCATGTAAGTGATAGGAACTATCTATATAAAATAACATTAAGAAATCAAAGGAGATATGTGATACTATTTTGGAACCTCTGATATACAAGGTGGGGCAAAAGTAGGTTTATAGTTGTGCATATAAAAATAATACAATAATGAGTAAATAATACAAGAATAAACTGTTTCCTGTACTCACAACTGTAAACCTACTTTTGCCCCACCCTGTATGACTTTTATTCTTTACCAGATAATACTTTTCGGTATCTGTCAGTTATTAAAATAGTGGATTTTAAAAAATATTTTAAATGTGTGTGAACACAAATCCTTTCTACTGTGATCTTCCCTCACTGTAGTCTTCTATAGTGTGTTCTAATTGCTAGAAAGCAATGGCAAACGTATCTTTCATGATTCAGTCTATATTGGCATATTACTTTAGGGACCCAGGGCTTTTAGCAAGAGTGCTGTATTTTGACCCCAGACTATGAACAGACTGTGAATTTGGTGCCTTTTTTTTCCTACCAAAGAAAAATTGGATCAAGGTTGGTGCTAAATTTCATGTTTCTTTCAAAATTATTTTTTCTTTTAAAGTATATATAACACAATAGGAAATGTGTAGATCCAGCAGTTTGTGTACATTACATTTTTTAATATACATCTGAGGGGGGGGGAGGAAACTCACCTATAAAGCAATTTTTGAGTTCAAATATCTACTTCGAGGTATGTGATTTTGGTAAGCACATAAGGCTTTAAATTATGAAACTTACATAAAAATGATCACCAAATGAAAACTTAATGCCAAACATAGCCCCAAACATCTCTGGCCAATGTTTCTAGCACAAAGGTAGCTATTCCAAGTATGCTGTAACTCTGAGGGCATGTAAAAGAATTGTGTATATTTTGTTATACAAAATAACTTTCTATTACACTTGTTTAAATAGATATTTTGAGATATTTTTCAGGCTAAAATCAGAGTTCTGGGGGCCATCAATCTTAAAACTTGAACAATGAGTTACATTTAAAAAAAATTCACACTGAAAGTATTATTGTTCATATTTTAGATTTAACCTAAAGATTTAAATTAGTAAGGACTATGTCTGAGTCAGGCTCAGCAAATTTCATACCTCAGATTTATCAAGGGCTGTCAGCATCATGGTGTGGCTGTGTGACACTCGCCTAAAATCCCACCTGGAATTCCACATGGGTTTCTGAGTCCTAATGTACCTGAATGTAGGACTCAGATGAAGTGGGGACCACGGGTTTTTATTTAATCCTGCTGTTTGTATAGACGTTGCCTTAACTATGTTATGAGGATGTGCTAAATGTAAATTGGAAAAATGATACCATCATTTTACTAACTAGGAAGACCATACATTTGGAATCTACTAGAGTTTCCTGGATTCTCTGTTCATTGAGAACTCCTTTCTGTTAACATGAGCTATGTGTGGAAGGGAGAATGGGAACTTGTTAATCAGAAGTTACAGTAAAGTGAGACTAAATATCCCTTTAACAGTCACTTCTGATCTATCTGTTAATATCTTGTGGTTTGAGAAATGTAAGATTGGACATGCTTGATAAATTTGCATTTTGTCAGTTTGGTCTCTTGCCAGTTTATTTTAGCCTGAAAGTTATAGCTACCACAGACCGTACCCTGCAGTATTATTAAGAGAGAGCTTAGATATTTTAAGTATCTCTTAGTATAATATGACCTTTTTCACCCCAAGGTATTTTAATGTTTATATTAAAAGTAATTTTTAAATTATTTTGCATAGTTTCAAAGTTAGAAAAACATGCTTTATCTTAGACATCAAAACCAAATTATCCCAAGAGCATGCTGTACACCGCGTGTAGCTCTGCCTCCCTGCTGACACAGGATGCCATCTTTGGCACAATAGTTGTTTAAGTGTAGAACACTGTGCGAAATGATTGTGTTGGATTTGATCAGTATGCAGTATTTTAGTATGTGCCTTTTAAAAAAAATGTATCTTTTTAAAGAGTTTAATTTATAATTGATTTTTTTATAATGTGCAATTTAATATAGAGAGCCAAAATCTTTTAAATGAAAAGAGCTTTATAATCATTAGGAGAATAAGATCATTTTACTGTGGAACAATGTGATATTCTCAGTAAATATAATAAAAAATTTTTAGCAAATTTCTATAAGGCTTTTGATTATATTTATGGAATTGCTGGGGAGTATGGGGAAAGAAAAAATTATACTAAAATGAAGGAAACAGTCTGTGTTGAATAAAAGACAATATGCTGTGTGATTTTTTAAAATATATTTTTATTGATTTTTTACAGAAAGGAAGGGAGAGAGAGAGAGAGTTAGAAACATTGATGAGAGAGAAACATCAACCAGCCGCCTCCTGCACACCCCCCACCGGGAATGTGCCTGCAACCAAGGTACACGCCCTTGACTGGAATTGAACCTGGGACCCTCCAGTCCGCAGGCCGCTGCTCCATCCACTGAGCCAAACCGGTCAGGGCTGCTGTGTGATTTTTAAGCTGTATCAATCTGTTCCAAGTATGTTTGGGTTTTGTTGTTTCTCTGAAATAAAGGGCAGGGGTAGAAATGATCCTAAAGCACTGGAGAGTCTAAGAACTATTTCTGTTAGACATTTTTTAGAGTTAACTAGAGGCCCAGTGCATGAAATTTGTGCACGGGTAGGGTCCTAGCAGCTGCTGGCTGCCAGGCAGGGCCTTCCTTCACTCCGTGCCACCCCCTGGTAAGTCAGCGCACATCATAGCGAGCGATCAAACTCCCAGTCGGTCGAACTCCCGAGGGGACACTTTGCATATTAGGCTTTTATATATAGAGATGTACATTATGTTTCTTTTACTTACACTGATTATATTTGTTAAATTGAGCCAGTATAGGTGACCTCCTATTCATTGATAATCTCTGGGAATGACCAAGAACCAGGCTGGAATATTAAAAAACACGATGTCCTGTTATTATGGATTGCACACATTCAGGGGATGTTTATTATTTCATGAGCCCTAATTACAGAGCAAAACATTATTTATGGTGAATGGTGCTAAAGAGATTTTTTTAACATTAAACTCAAGAACGTGGAATTGCAATACATCATTTAATCCAGTAATTACTTACATGCCTGCATATAAGTGCCAGAATGTGCAGGCCACTGGAGGGCTTTGGAGAAAACCAGGAAAGAATGGGTATCCCATCTTGTTACTGATTCTGAGCAAGATAAAATTCACTCTCCTGAAAAAAATAATTTTTATGGATTAAATTAGAATTCTACTGTATACAGAAAATCTAATTATCATAGTATCAAACTTTAAGGATTTAAAATTCTCTTTTCATAGTTTCCTACAGATAAACCTAAAATTTAAATTCAAGACTTATTTTTTAAAATCCTCAACTCAAGAGTCACCAGTGTCTTCTTGACCCCTTCAGGGATAGGAAGCTCACTACCTCACACAGTGGTCTCCAGAGCCGAGCCCTCTGCCTCCCATGCTCACCTCTTCTGCTCTAACTCCTTTTACCTGTCCTTGCTGTGGCCATCTATGGGCCTCCTGGACCACTCCCATATATCCACACCCAGCAACTGGCATTTGGTCCAACATTCAACATTCATGTGGAGCAACTTTATTTCCCCACACACTTAACAGAGACCCTGTAACCTTGTCATCTCTGGAAATGGCTTCATCGTTGAAGTCTTAAATACCAATATTCCTCTCTCTCATCACAGCGTCCTATTACTTTATTTCCTCTTCCTCCCTTCCATTGGGCCTGCTCTTCAACTTGGAGATCATCCTCCCATTGCCTCCTCCATTCCCTCCCATTCCCCATTCTGTCTCAGTCAGATCTCTTCAGTCTCTACTTTCTTCCTTAACCCTTACCCTGGGATCTGCAAGACTCTAATCAGCTCCCTGAATATTCCCCTCCCTAGTTGCCCCTACATCACCTTCCCCAAATTAAATATCTCCAGTTTCCTCAACTGTCTGTTCTCTCTTGTATCATTTCCCCTCTCTTTATTGGATCATTTCCATCAGCATGTATACAAGCTGTGTATTATATACATCGCAGCTTGGGGGAGAGGGAAGATCTCTTTTAAACCACATGCCCCCTATGGCTATTGCCTCATTTCCTTCCATTCATTTATAAAAGACAAAAAAAATTTCTTAAAGAAATTTCTACCTAAATTTCTCTCCAATTTTATCTCCTCCCAGTCTTTCTTGAATCCACTCCACTGAACTGCCTTTCTCAAGGTTACCACTGGCCTCCACAGCATTAATTCCAAGTCACTGTTTTTTTTTTAGTATCTCAAGATAAACAATTTTAAATATGATGTTACATGCAATAAACACCAATTATTCAAGAAAAATGATCTTAGATGTAATAATATTACACACAATAAACATTAATATTTCAAGAATAAAAGGATTTTAAGTATAATAATATTACTAAAACTATACTAACATAGAATGATATCACAAAAGTTATAGGAAATATTAAAAATCTGCAAATAACAGGATTGCTCCTATTCTAGAATATTTTCCCCCCTCTGGCTCTATTTTTGTTCATCGGTTTATATTGTGGAGAGAGCACCTGAGAAGGCACACGGGCATTTCTTTAGTTATTGTCAGCTGAATCCAGTGGCGTTGGCAAAGCCCCGGCCTGGAAACACGCTTTGCCAAAAGGCAGCAGTGTTGTCAGCTTGACCTTCAGCCCAGGTGCCAAGGGGTGGGTTTTGCTATTTAAATCCAGCCAAGCACCAGGAATGAATAGACTCAGGCCCACCCAAGAATGCACATAATCTCCTTTGTCTTGGCCTTTAGGAAAACTTCCTGGTTTTTGCTGTATAAAATAAACACGCTGTATTGGCTCTGGGTCACTGTCTCTCCATCAGAGGACAGCTGTCCCACCCGGCCCCAGCTTTTTCCTTCCATTTCTGTGTCTGTCTCTTTCTTTCAATTTCTCAATCCCCAGCAGCCCCTACTCAGGAACCAGACCACTCTCTAGCTGCGCTGGACGCGGAGAAGAGAGAAATATTCACAATGTTGTTCATTATATTCTACAAATGAGTGAGATCATGTGATATTTATCTTTCTCCAGCTGGCTTATTTTACTTAGTATGATGCTCTCCAGGTCCATCCATGCTGTTGCAAATGGTAAGAATTCCTTATTTTTTTACCACAGCATAGTATTCCATCGTGTAGATGTACCACAGTTTTCCAATCCATTCATCTGCTGATGGGTACTTAGGCTGTTTCCAAATCTTAGCTATGGTAAATTGTGCTGCTATGAACATAGGGGTGCATATATCCTTTCTGATTGGTGTTTCTGTTTTCTTGGGATATATTCCTAGAAGTGGGATCACGGGGTCAAATGGGAGTTCCATTTTTAGTTTTTTGAGGAAACTCCATACTGTCTTCCATAGTGGCTGCACCAGTCTGCATTCCCACCAGCAGTGCACGAGAGTTCCTTTTTCTCTGCATCCTCTCCAGTACTTGTCGTTTGTTGATTGGTTGATGATAACCTTTCTGACAGGTTAGAACAAGATGGTACCTCATTGTTGTTTTGTTGCATCTCTTTGATGATTAGTGACTTTGAGCATGTTTTCATATGTCTCTTGGCCTCTTTTGAAAGGTGTCTATTTAGGTCCTTTGCCCATTTTTTGATTGGATTGTTTATCTTCCTTTTGTTAAGTAGTATGAGTCAATATTCACTTTTCAATCCTCATCTCAGGTGGTGCAGTGAATCAGTCCTGCTCTCTGAGTCAGGCTTGCCGTATAGCACACCTACCTGATTTTCCTCCACTCTTCCTAGCCACTCCTTCTCAGTCTGCTTTGCTGGGTCCTGCTCATCTCCCAACCGATAAATACTGAGAGTACATTATGGCTTAGTTTTTGAACCCCTTCTCTCGTCTGTTTATACTCACCCCCTAGGTCAAGCATGTCAAACTCAAAGGCTCACACGGGCCAAATAAACAAGGTTAAAGTTCATGTGGGCCGCAAAGAAACAAAAGCTTCAATTTTCATTGAAACG